TGCTCTGATAATGATCTATCATTGGGGCTTACGATTTATTTTTCATTGAAAAAATTAGGTATTCATTAAATACCGTGAATTTCCAATGCCACTGGTACACAAGTAGAATTTCCCTATGAAAACGAAAGCTTCAGTAAGGAAGTATTTGGGATGTAATTTATTATTAACACTATTATTTTAATTGCTTGCTATTTCATTTTACTATATATTCTGAGTGGGGAAAAAAGGGACAGCTGTCTCTTCAAAAATGTTTAGAAATTATCTGAGAATTAAAATATAACTGGCTTTTCTTCTTAGATACTTTTTATTTACGGTTGTATAAGTTTAGGAATCTGTTACTTTTTTAATACTTTCCACGCATACTTGTAGCCTTATAATTCAGAGTTCCAACTTGAATAAATACTAAAAGGAGGAGACTTTCAAAACACATAAGAAGTTTTAAACTTTTTAGAGTCATAAACTTCTGGTAGGGGTAGAATCACTTTAAGAGTCTAAAGGGTAAAGAGCTCTCTTCCTAGGAAAATAGACACAGAATTTTGCCTCTAATTTCAGGGAATTTTTGGAGGCCCAGGACATCTCTCTGGGACACTCTAGGGTCAGTTTAAGACCCCACCTCAGGTTACCTTTTCCCCTTGTTGATGTGAGAAACATCTTGTTATATAAGTTTTTAGGCATAGATATGTAACAAATCTGTTTGAAGGGTTCTTTAAAAGTCTATTTTGAAGATGTTTTAAAAATTAATATCCTTAGTCTCAAAGTTGCATTCTTTGGATTTTTTGTCTTTGTAGCTGAGTGAATATTTAAAAGCCTTTATTGCTACTTAAAATACCATATGGTTGACTACTTTTCCCTTTGCTTGGGGAAGATTTTCCTCTGGGATCTCTGCTTAATATAATAAAATCCTGATGAACTCAAGACACTGTGAAAGGAAGTATTCTAATTGAATTTTCAGTTAACTAAGAACTGACCAAATGTCTTACACTGGAAATCTTTTCAGAGTTATTAGTAAATACAGTACTGTAGGATTTTGTAGGATGACAGTCATCATTTTGTTCGTCATACAAAGTTAAAAGATGAATCTGAATGCCTGGGCATTGTTTAAGAAGTTAAATGTTCAGCCATAAACCAAAGAACAAAAGCAAACAAAAACTTAAGTTTTAGGCAACTTTACTGTGAACTAAATGTTCTAGAAATCTGATTGTGTCTGTATCAGTTTGTGTACTGTGTATAAGAATATATGCATTTCTCTTGTAGCCACGTCATGAATATTTTAATGTCCCTGTGTACTAAATGACTACTCATCGAGTATGCAGAATTTCACAGAGGAAATAGAGAGCTGATATACTTATGAAAGAAAATATCCTCAGCTTGCTGACTATCTTGTAAAAATAATAGAACATTTCAGAACCAGTACCATTACAATTGTATTTTTTCCTGTTTGCATTCCTCTTTCCTGTTTTATTTCATTCTATATATGATCTTGATATAACTTATTCCTGTTCACAACTGATTTAAATTCTTCTGACAAAGTATGATCTGTGAATGTTTTGAGTAATATTTCATCTTCAACACATGCATGTTACTATTAATGAACCATTTGTGATTAATCTTATAAGAGGAAAACATGGCAATCATTATTGTTTACCAAAGAGACTATGGCTGAATTACTCTGTCAAAATAAGCAGTGCCATAATATTTAGTTGTTCAGTCTTCAATTGTTGAAGGGGGGGGAAAAAAAACTATAGTGTGATTGTCTTGCAGACTGAGTTAAAATGTTCTAATGTATCACATAAAAGGGTATGTGGAAATAATACAATAAAATAAAATTAATCTGTACTAGTATATAATATTTAAAGTTGAAACATTCAGTTAAGAAATTTTGTAGTGCCACATTTATTGAATCACATTTGTGCGATATAATGATATTGAACTATCAGAAAGCTGTGTCAGAAAAGTCTCTTCTGCACTATTGCTCAGTGGAAAGCCCTTTCCAAGTATTAATACTGAGCTAATTTATATAGTTCAAAAATTCCAATACTGTTCAATACTTAAAGTTTATATTTTACTATTAATAGTTTTCTAATATATTAAGTCTTCATTTAAATACGTAGTGCTTTGTTAATTATGGCTTTATATTTCTGAATACTAAAATTTTTAACATTGATCACTATTGTACATGCTTTTAATAAAACATGTAGCATATTTTATCATCAAAGGAAAAGTACCAAATCATTCATTATTTTAATCTAGAGAATTTAAAGACTGAGTTAAGTAAGTTTTCATTACACAATAACTTCAGATGATACTCAAACTAGTTTATCACTGAAAGAAAACCTACCAGGAAACTTTGTATTAGGCAGGTAACAAATCAGTTATTTCCATTCTTACCATTCTTGCTGTAATACACTACATTTGAAGCACTGGGAAACATTGATCTTTCATTTCCATTTTTTTTCCCCCTTCATCCCGCCCCCTGCCCTGCAACATGTTATTCATCTGGTTTTAATGCTGCATAAATATGCATTGTCTCATGCCTGTTTGCTTTGGATGCTGTGTGCTGAGCTGTAACAAGATGTTGCTTTTGTTATCTGTATACAGCTGCTTGCTTGAAATCAGTAGATTCTGAAATAGCTTTTCTTGCATGTCTAAAATAAAAGTATTGCATGTACTTTGTCTCATGTGGATGACTTTTTTCTTCTCCACCCCTTTTGATAAGATAATGTTTTATATTTTCATTTTTCCAGGTAATTTTTAAAATTGTGGTAAAAACACATAATGTAGAGTTTATTTTAAAGGTTACAGTTCAATAGTGTCAAGTATATTCACATTGTTGTGCAACAAATCTCCAGAACTTCTTCATCTTGCAAAACTGAAACTCTAGACTCATCAATCCACCACTCCCTACATCCCTCTCCACGAAACCATTGTACTTTGTTTCTATGAATTTGACTTTAGATAATAGTTTTTCTAGGTAATGTTGAGCTATGATTTCAGTGTGAACACGTGAAAAGTACATTTTATATTTTAAAAACAATTTGTAAAATATTCTACTTGTACAACTTGAAAGGATTAAAATATGTAAATGAATCTAGGCCTCTTAGAAAGAACAAATACACTGAGTAATTCATATTCAAAAAGCAATCTGACTCTCTTCAGGAAATGCGATATGAGACTATAAGCAATGAGCAGGTGTGGTATGGGTGTGTGTGACTGGCTTCAGGGAATAGTTTTGGGCCATTTTTACATGGACAAGCTGGGAATGTAAACTATATAGAATTGAGTGTAGGCATCCTTTAATAACATTGAAGGTCCATCACTTCCATCAGACTTTCTTCAAAAACTTAACATACAAATTTCAAGAGAATACTATGAAGAACTTTTCTGTACACACATCCCTCAGCTTCAGCAACCATCAATTTAATACTGTTTGCTCTAGCACAGCTCCCCCTATTTTTGCCTCAGTATTTGAGAGCAAGCCCTCTCCATCCTGTCATTTCATCTTGAATACTTTAGAAGGTATCTCCAACAGATAAGTACTATTCCCAACAAAATCAACAGTAAGTGATCCTAATATCTTTTGCCTGCCTGTTTTTTCTGCTTATCTGAGAAATGTCTTTTTATAACCGATTTAAGACTAGATTCCAATCAAGGTCCACATTGTATCTGGTTGATGCATCTTAAGTCTGTTTTAATTCTTCACAAGCCTACTTTTTATCCCCCTGCCATCTTTTTTTTTTTTTTAACCAGGGTATTTATGCCATAAAATTTCTTCCATTCTGTATTTGGCTCGTTTTATTCTTGTGTCAATGTTTTACTTGTTCTCTTATCCTTCATCTATATTTTTATTTAGATCTGTAACCTGATTAGATTGAAGTTCAGTCTTAAGAGGGCAAGCATGCTCCATAGATTAGACTGCCTTTTTAAAAAGGCCTTTTTTCACTTGAGCTAATTTTTACTCATTTCTAGTACTACACAAACATGCTGACAAGTCATCATATGAACTTTATATAATTGGTTTATAGTACTTCAATATAGCACTGAATGTTAAATACCTTTATTTAGATTTTAGTTACATAATGACATTATCAGCTAACATTTTTTGAGCACTTTCTATACACCAGGCACTGAGCCTTAAACTCATTTACTCTCAACATGAAGGTAAGTACCATTCTTCTTGTTTTCCAACTATGGAAACAGACTGTAGAATCTTATGTATGATTATACCATGAAGTGCCTTACATACAATTAAATCTAATGTTCTAAAGATTTATGATTTAATGTTTTCTTTCCTTGTTTTGTGCTGTACCACGAATAGGATGCAAAAGTAAGTTTATTCATTATTAGATACTAAAAATTTACATTGTTATCCTCTTAAAATATTGTGTGACCTTTTAATTACAAAATTGATAATAATACCTGAAAGTTGACCTACTTGGTCCTTTTTTATGCCCCTTTGGAAAATTTTGAAGTACTTTTTCTACATATGGCTGCTTTGTCTACCTTTAACATTTAAAAACAAGTATTGGTTGTTACATAAGACAAAGAGCCTTTAGTTCCAGAGTGTTTTTTCAGTATGTGACAAAAAAGCATGGAAAACACTAGGTGAAGCATTGTAGGAACTCAGGACTTGGTGGGGGCGGGTCCTGCTTTTTATTTGAATTATAAAAGTAAGTTAATCTTTCCTGTATATGATTGAGTAGCAGCAATTTCATACATTGCTAGTGAGCTTCCATTGAGCTTGACTGCTTTTTGTGTTATGGCAACAGTACCGAGCACATTAGTATGTAATCAGTTGGTATTTAATGAATGCCGAGAACATCCTATGGTCGCCAATGATATGGGCATAAATCCCTAGATAACCACTGGCTGTCACTAGTAGAATGCTCCTGTAACACTGAATTTCTTCTGTAAAATGGGCATGCCCTTTATGTCAGTTTTTCACATTTTTAAGACTCCCTCCCTGGATCTGCTTACCAGAGTCTCACGTTTTCCCTCCACAGGAAGCTGAGACCCCACGTAGTGTTCTTGAAGAAATTGGACTGACATAACTCTCCTCCCTTGTTGATGACTTCTTGTGGCATTTCACACACTGTAGATGGTCACTGCCTTCATGTCCATGTTAGCTAATGGTGTAAGATGATGTCTTGTCAGTATTACTGTTTTGCTAAGCTGCTTCATTCAGGCCTACATTTTTTTTTAAAGGGAACTTTGATCAATTGAATGAAAAGGGACTTAAATTTGGATTAGAAATATGCATAAAGTACTTTTCTTGGATTTCTCAAATTTATAGGTCTATTTCTCATAACTGATTATGTGCATATATGAAAATGACACATCTCTGTACAAGCAATATCTATCAAACAATTCGGCAGTGTACATTTGTTAATTACTGTACTTGACAAAGGAAGGTTAAATTATAATGTGAAACCTGGTTTTACGAAACCAAAGATGAGTGCAGCATTTCCGTATATATGGTAAAAATAAGGGAATCAACATGTCACATATTGAATGAATGAAAATTTAATTGTTGAAACTTAAACAAAAACAAATTTATACCAAAGAACCCTATTGGACACTACATACCTTAAAATAAAGGGAATACAGATTATTTTAGATGACTAAATTGGAAGATGTCATTTAAAATTAATAACTAAGCATTCTGAATGAATGGGACAAGGAACAAAGATTGCTTTATAATAGCACATAATTTTTAAGGCTAAGGCACATTTGAACCCTGAGATGATTTTTTTTCTTTTTTTGTGGTCATAATCATTTAGTTACTCAGATTGTTTTTGATGCCCCCCAAATGAAGTAGAAATGTTAGTTTATCAGTTCTTCATAACAGTATCTTACAGAAACATTGCCCTCTTCACAGTGTTGCGTAAAGTCATTGTTTAAAGCATGAATGTTCCTTCTGGGGTTCTTGTTCAAGCTGAGTTTATTTTGGTTCCCTTTGCTTCCTTCTAATTAGAAGTACTGCAAACTTTACAGAAGCTTCCTTTCCTTCCATGGCACTACCTAGTTATCAGAAGTATAAAAATTTAAAAGACACCTTTCATTTAACAGTGAGAGTTGAAGTAAAGTGGCATTAGGTGGCCCTATATTTTTTAAAGCTTATATAATTGTTCAGCATCACTTTTATACATATACATATCTAAACATGTCTGTGGTTTACACTTTCACTTGCATATGCTGGGCTGGATTAAGCTTTGTTGTAATTGTGACCAACATCAGGCCACGTGAGCACTGTCTTATCACATTGCCAATTAGCTGTAATAAATGTTCGACATACAAACACCGTAGTGTGTTTTTATCTTTTTCCAAAAGTGTATCAAACTGGCAAGCTGCTGAAGGAAGATTTTTTTTCCCAGTAAAATGTTGAAAATTTCCCTTCATTTGATTGCCCCCCCCATTTGAATGTGGTGGTGGGTTTATAAGCACACACAAGAAAAAATGGTGATGATTTATGGAGTCTTCATGTACTTCAAGTTCATTGAAAAGTAACATGGATTCCATGCTACCAAGAGCTTACCAACACATTTATTTTCAATCAATAAATGCCGCTTTGAAAACCTTGACGCAGTTGACTTTTCTACTCTCTGAATGAACAACTCGAAATTATTCCAGGTCATCGAAAGGTATTCCAAATTATCTGAAAACTCTCATCTTCCATATACTGGCACATGCAACAAAATTGGACTGATATTTGCAGACTGTGCTACCTAATGTAAGCAGCAAATCCACTTTGGTTATCATAATAGTAAAAGGGCCTCCTGGGCTGGAGATGTAGAGCACCTGCCTATCATGCATGAAGCCCTGGACTCAATCCCCAGGTTGCGGGGTGGGGAGGGAGCTATGGACTTTCTATTACTGTAGATAGGAAATGTTACATTCTTTTTTATTTTTTATTTTTTATTTTTTAGTTAATGGACCTTTATTTATTTATATGCAGTGCTGAGAATTGAGCCCAGTGCCTCATGCATGCTAGGCAAGCGCTTTACCACTGAGCCACCACTCCAGCCCCAGGAAATATTACATTCTAAAGCTGGGATTTTTAAGAACAAGGAAATGATTCCATCAAATTAAGTGGCTAGTAATCTCCAGATGGATTTTTATCAGGGTAATGAACCAGTCAGAAGTTATAAACTTCCTTTCTCTCCCTTACTGCTTATTAACATTCAAGGGAAGCTGAATGTGGTGGCAGCACACACCTGTAAACAGGGATTTGGGCAGTTGGGGCAAGAGGATTGCAAGTTCAAGGCCAGGCTCTGGCAACTTAGAATGTGTCTCAAGATTTTTTTTAAAGGGCTGGGGATGTAGCTCAGTGGCAAAGCATCCCTAGGTTCAATCCTCAGAATGGAAAGAGAAAAAATTGTTTTTTCATCTCAAGTCATCTTGAACTCAAGAAGGGATATAACTTAAATGGTATTCGCCTAGCATGCTTGAGGTCCTACCAGGGCTCAATCCCCAGCAAAACCCACCCCCACCCCCAACTGTGTAAGCATGTCTGTAGTTAGAAAACTATTAAAAAATAAAGAAAATTTCAATCATTTTTAGATTAAAGCAGGCATTTACAGTGGAACAAGTCAGATTCTTTAAAGTGAAATTATTCTCAACCACATACTACTTTTATTAACTACCAGATTACAGAAATCAAAGAATATCATGCAAAAATCTGATTCTTTAAAAAGTTTGGCTGTTTCAGTTTTTTGTTTTAGCTTTTCAGGATTTGGTGTATCTTTAAGTTCTTATCCCCAAATCTTAAATTTCTAAGTGCTACATACCCTGAAATTCAAGATCCAAAGTATGTCAATTGAAAAATAGTTCTAAAAAATTTATAGAAAGGCATGAGAGCATCTTTTCTTATTTATGATCTGAAATCTAAGGATAATGTGCCTGAAGCTTTTTATACATTAGGTTTTCTTCCCTGACCTCTCTTCTATAGTTTCTATTCTAGAATTGTTTTGACACTAGGCATATTCTGTAGCAATTACTGATTTTCCCGAAAATGACAAAGATAAGCATTATACCTAAAGAACTTAAAAAAAAAAGATATACACCTTGATAGAAAATTCCCAACTGAAGAGGTACTACAGATATGTGGTAGGAGGGGGGAAATGTACTTTATCCTTTACTACTTTAAAACTGACAAAATGAATTTTAAAGCAAAAAAAGCCATTCAGCTTTTGCATACAGAAAAATCCAATAGATTATTTTTAAAAGGCAAATAAAATGGCCATTAAATACAGAAGAAAAAATGTTTGCTTTAATCAATATGTACAGAAACAAATATTTAAAATTTACCGAATTGACAAAGATTAAAATAACTTAGTGTTGTGAGAGCAGCAGAGCCTATTATTGCTAGAGTAAATGTTTTGTAGTCTTTCTGGAAGGCAATTTGAAAATATAATACTTGTCTTCTTTGATGTAATTTATCCTAAGAATATGATTAGAAATATGTGGGATTAATTAAAGAAATCCATCACAGGATTGTTTTCAGCACAGGATTCTTGAATGGTACAAAATTAAAAATCCAACAATAGGGATATGGGTACATAAACTGGTAGATGCCCACTGTGCAGTGTATAAAAATGACAAGTGGGCTTGATGAAATGTGATGTTTCTTGTGGAAAACATTCAACTAGAGCTATATATAATCTTTGAATAAAAAAAAATATGTGTACCCAGTGGCTCAAGAGGCTGAGACAGGAGGATCTGAGTGCAAAGCTAGCCTTAGCAATTTAGTGAGTCCCTAAGCAACTTAGCAAGATGCCTTCTCATAAGAAAAGGGCTGGGGATGTGGCTTAGTGGTTAAATGCCCTTGGATTCAATCTCCAGTACCCCCCCCCCCCAAAATAATTATATGTGTGTATGTGTGTGTGTGTGTGTGGTGTAAACACACACACATAAATAATTTTATATATGTGTATATAAAATAAAATGTGTAGATGCTCATAAGAGGAGGAAAAAAGAAAATGCAATGCTCCTGGGTTAATAATCTCTCAGGGTAAGAGTTATAAGTAATTTTCATATTATTAGATTTTCTATACTAAACACAAGTTTGTGATTATCAAAGAGTTAAAATATTTTAAAATAGGATTCCAGGTTATATAGGCTTTTGTCAGACTCGGGAACCCATCTGAGCACACAGTCCTCTATCCAAGAATGTAGTATCCATAATAAGTAAGATATGCAACCATTAAAGAATAAAATAGGTTTATTTGGATTTGGGACTCTGAATCGTTCTGTCTCTACTACCTGACCTCCTCCCACCACAACTCCTGGATCTAGATGAGCTCTGGCTCTGGCTCTGGCTCTGGCTCTGGCTCTGGCTCTGGCTCTTACTCCGGCTCCGGCTCCGGCTCTTACTCCCGCTCCTGCTCTGGCTCTGGCTCCGGCTCCGGCTCCTGCTCCTGCTCCTTCTGCTCCTGCTCCGACTTCGGCTCCGGCTCCGGCTCCGGCTCCTGCGGCTCCGACTCCGGCTCTGGCTCCTGTGGCTCCTTCGGCTTCTATGGCTCCGGCTCTGGCTGCCCCGGCCCCTGCTTCGGTCTCTTTTTCTTCCTCTGCTTCGAGAATTGTGCCTCTCACGACTCTTTGTCATGTGTTTGTGAGATTTCTTCGCCCTGTGTGCACTTCTCCTCTTCCTCTCAGACTCCCCATTTCTCTTGTAGTTGTGGTCAGCACTAGGGCTTCTTCTCCTCCTCCTGCCATAGTATTCTTCGTGGTGGCCCATCCTCTCCCTCCTCTCTGAGTTCTTACCAAAGGAGGAGCCAGTCCGATCCGGAGACAGGTAGATGTCTCTATTAGCTTCCCAGAATTCATTGTTGGGATTTCTGAATACATGAAGAAAGTTGCAGTGTTTTCCTCTTGGACACTGTTGTATTTCAAACAAACCTGCAATGGCACAGTGAGAAAAACAGCGATTACTACTGTGTATTCTGAAGATGGCACTTCGTTCCAAAGGTACATTTCTGATGTTCGGATATGTTTGAATTACTTCCTATTATTTGCTAGCTAAGAGGCTTACATATATTGATTCTCAAAATTTCAAAAACATTCAAATGTTCTAACAACTAAAACTCTGAAGTTTTAATTAACCAGAATATTCTGTACACCTATTGTATCATCAGAGTGCAACTGAACAAGTGGTGACCACATTACCTTTTCTACAGTAATTAGATCCCTAATAACACGGAAGAGCCAGGCCTTGGGGTCCCTGTGGTGATGACCTCAAAAGCGCATGGCGATGGCAGGACAGAACCACTGGTCAAAAGAAAAGGCCTATCATAGGTAGATGAGCCTATATTTTCTTAACGCTTTAAAAGTAAGATTATAGCCAGGCATGGTGACAAACACCTCCAGCAGCTTGGAAGACTGAGGCAGGAGAATTGCAAGTTCAAGGACAGCCTGAGCAACTTAGCAAAACTATACCTCAAAAAAGTGTGTGGGGGGTGCTGAGGATGTAGTCCAGTGAGACAATGGGAAAGCACCCTTGGATTCAATCCCCAGTAACACACACACACACACACACACACACACACACACACAAACCAAAACAACCCATTAAATTCCTATTCCCCAAATAGATAAAACAGCTAGAAATGAAATACTCCTATACCATATACTATATACAAAAATGAACTCAATCTGGATCAGAGACTTAAATGTAAGAGACAAAACTATAACTCTGAAGAAAACACAACATTTGAGACCCTGGGCTAAGCAATGCAGTCCTAGATATGATACCAGAAATACCAGTCCCCCCAAAAGAAAGAAAGTTGGACTTCATTAAAATAAAATAATGCCAGGCATGGTGGCACACACCAATAATCCTAGCTACTCAGGAGGTTGACACAGGAGGATTGCAAATTTGAAGCCAGTCGATGCAACTTAGCAAAAGCCTGCCTCAAAATAAAAAATGAAAAGGGATCGAGAGATAGCTGAGTCAGGTACAGTGCCCCTGTGTTCAATCTCCAATACTGAAAAAAATAAAATAAAAATAAAAATCTTTTGTGCTTCAAAGAACACAAAAGTAAAAAGACAACCCACAGAATAGGGGAAAATATTTGCAGATCATATTTTTTTAATATATATTTTTTTAGTTGTAGGTGGACACAATACCTTTATTTTATTTATTTATATGTGGTGCTGAGAATCAAACCCAGTGCCTCACACATGCTAGGCGAGCACTCTACCACTGAGCCACAACCCCAGCCCTGCAGATCATATTTATGATCAGGTACTTGCATATAGAATACATCAAGAACTCAGTAATAAAAGAAGAAACAACCTGATTAAAAATGGATTAAGGATCTAAATAGATACTTCTCCAAAGAAGATATAGAAATGGCCAATAATAAAGACACAAAAAGATGTTCAAGGTCATTAGCCACTAAGAAAAACAACAAAGCTGTTATTTTTAAAATGGGAGGGGAAGGAGGCTGGGGCTTATAGCTCAGTGGTACAGCGCTTGCCTCGAATATGTGAGGCACTGGGTTTGAGCCTCAGCACCACATAAAAATAAATAAATAAAGATATTGTGCCTGTATACAACTAAAAAAAAAAATAAACAAACAAA